ACACTATATTTTCTCATTTGAGTATTTTTTTTATTTTTATTTTTTAAATTTCTCTACAGGCATTTGTTGAATGAAGCTGCAATTATGAGAAGTGTGAAGTTAGTGGCAGAGAGTTTAGCGGTAAGGTTTTATATTACATTTTTGAGGAAGAACTTTGTCATGGTGTTTTTGTATTATTTCTTTTTACACAAATGCACGTTATATGCATACTTGTGTGTATATATATATATATATATACTAGTTTAAAAAGGCTCGTATTATAATATATTTAAATTTTATATTTTGATAATTTTTTAAAAATTAAAATATTATTTTATAAAATTAAATAGAATAAATCATTACATATATGATAAAATTATATGGTATGGTATGTATCATTTTTTGATTTGTTATACGCCCATGTAAACTCCAATTCTATTACCATATTATTTTAAATGAATTTATGAGTTTTTAACATTTTTTCCGAATTTATAAAAAAAAAATGACTAATTTTATTAATACATGAATCGTACTCATATAACAAATGACCAATTTTATTAATAAGTAAATCGTTAAGTAAATTAATAATTTTTAATGATATGAAAAATATTTTTTAGTTAACCATTTTGTTAATAAATAAATCATTAAGTCAATTAACAGTTTTTAATAATATGAGAAATATTTTTTAATAAACAATTTTGATAATTTATTATTGCATAAGAAAATGGTTTTGTGTGTGTGTGTGTGTGTGTGTGTGTGTGTGTGTCTATAATGCCCCCCAAAATAATACGATAAATCTAACTCATAAGTGGAAGAATAATAAAAATAAGATACTTTCATTCATCAGAGGTCGTTTACAAAAGTTAACATATGTGATATACATTCACAAATGTTCATCCCGAATCTACAGCATGTGTCGCAATTTTAATAGAATTAAAATTAAACATATAGTCATATGCCCTATATGCTTACATCTTTCTAAGTCATTACTTGATTACACAAGAGCGAGCCTAGCTCAACACAATTTAAGCCATTGGCTATACAAAAGAATATAAAAAAAAACAAAAAGAAGCTCTTGCTCCCAAAAGTTCCTCCAAGCTATTGTCTTGGCGGGGACATGTCACCAGTACCTAAAAATAATTTTTCCCAAATAGGGTGAGCCAAGGCCCAATAGGAACAATCTAACACAATATATGAAATTTAACAAAGATATAAGTATAATGTGCATATACAATGCCGGTGACAAAATATCCACATTTTATATAACCGTAAACACCAAAGTTCATATTTCAATTCATCTTCTTTGAATTCATTTCAAGTTCATTTATTCTTCTCAATTCATAAGTCAATTTCACTATCTTTCAACGACCCAACTGAGACAACAACTCAGTGGTTTTTCCAATTCAATACACTACCACACAAACACTTCAAATCTGTCATTTTACAGAAATTTCGTCCGTGGGATCGGCACCCATGTATACACACGATTTAGGGACTTTCACCCTAGACACTTCGGCCAACTTAATTTTAATAGAGTCCATCCCCTATCTCCTTCCAAACAATGGAGTATATCCAATTTCTTTTCCCACACAATGGAGTATATCCCCTTTCTCCTCCCAAGCATCATACATATACAATACATTTAAAACATAGTCATATTCAATGACAACCAACATTAGATTAGTTTCAATTTACCTAATCCTCATGCATTTTCTACAACAATCATAGCTATCATAAACTGATAGCCCAATACCAATATTTCTAAACAGATATACAGTCTTCTCAATAGATAAATTATTCAAATTCTTATAGGTGGGAGACAACACGTGTCCAACTCCCCATTTACATCAACAATTATCCAATTGCACATTATCATCATCAATTTTAGTTATTTACACAAAATACCAATTTGACCCATTTAGGGTAAAACCCCCTTTTTTTCCATATAACAACCCAAATGCCAAAATTAATTATTTTGCCACTACAGAACCTCATATTCGAACGCTATAATCATTTATCTCACACACATTTAGAAACCCATCTTTTTATTTCACACCTAAACCTTAGGTTTGTTCAAAATACTCTCAAATCCCACCATTGTCACACAACGACCAATAACTACTAACACCGACTAAAAATATTTCAGTCGCCAATTACGTTCTATTTAGTGACTAATTTTTTTTATTTTGTTCACCAATAAGCATTATATGTCGACTAAAGAAATATAGTAGCCGAAACATTCAGTAAACGCCGACTAAATTAACTATTAGTTGCCCAAAGTACTACTTTTGGCGACTAAAATTTTTTTGGTCGCCAAAATTAGCCGTCAAATGTGCAGTTTGTTGTAGTGATATTTTTAGTGAGAAACCTTATAATCAATATTTCATACTTTTTTTAAAAATTTTCTTAATTTTAAACAATTAAGAAAATCCCGACTGGTTAGCTTCCATTTAATTTTTATTTTATATTATATAAAAAAATTAAATATAATTATCATATTTTTATTAAATAATATATTATTTTATCTTGTACATAGCACGTATGATATGCTTGTATATATGTAAATTAAAAAGTTGTTAGTCCCATTGAAAAAAACAACGTGAAAGATGTAAGAGAAGGAACGGAAGAACTAGTGCTAAAGTTTTCCGTTTGTGAATACCATATTCTTTCAAGAAACTAAGAAATTGTTTGGGACACACTAAAAAATACAAAAAGTAAAAAAGTTGCCAAAAAAGTAAAAAAGTTATCACCATTCACAAATTAAAAATATAAAAAAAAATTGATTTATACAAAAAAAAAAGTACAATCCAACTTTACACAAGTGATGGTACTGAAGTGACGGGAAAATTACATAGGTGCACTGTGATGGTACAAATTACAAATTAGATATATATATTCATTAAGTTGGAGGGTACTGTTGGGCCTGTGGGAGCCCACTACGGGTTTCATTTAGATAATCCGAACCATTCAATGTATAGAACTCGTCGAGTACTATATGCTTGTAAAAAATCACGTTGATCGGATATGGATAGCTATGTGATCAAATCAAATTTTTGTTAGCCTTTTTATTTTTCACCGTCACTTTTTTCATACAAAACTATTTTGATCAGACAACTATCAATATCTAATCAACATGATTTTTTACATGCATATTATACTCGACGAGTTCTACACATTGAACGGTTCCGATTATCAAAACGGGACCCAAAACGAGACCCGTGATGGACCTTCACGAGCTAAACAGTACCGTCCAATCCGATCTCAGACTGTAGGCAATCTGCTCCTATACTTGTTTCCTGTCTACCGTCTGGCTTCTTGCACAATCCAAGTCAGTAGGCAATTCATTATAGTAAGGGTACAATGGTAATTTTGTTATTTTATATAATATTTTAATATACATTTTTTCATAAAAAGTCAAAAAGTTATCACAAATAATCATATTTTTTTCTTCTATTTTTTAATCTAAAAATTCAAAAAGTACATTTATTTAAGACATTCCAAACAACATCTAAGACTCAAATTATTGAAGAAATTAAACGATATACATATATATCTAAATTTATATTTTAGTAATTAATTACAATTGCAGTATTTTGATTTCTAATATATAATCTTACATGGAGCTCCTAGGGGGTGGGGGTAACTGGGGAAGGTGAGGGTAGCTGGGGAAGGTGAAGCAGCTCTAGTTTTTGTCCCCCTGCTTTTTTAATTAAAAGACTAAGACCCCCCACAATCTTTATTGTTTTTTAACAAGCATATTACCCGTGCTATGCACGGATTGTATTTATAATTATCTATATATACGAATTGTGATTTTTGAATGTTTTTTTTAAATGTCTTCTCTTTTCCTTTTTTATATTATATTAAAGTTTAATATTTTGACAATAATCATATGTGTTGGACTTTTCAAGGAACGAAATGTCTTTTTTTATTGTTATATTATATTAAAGTTTAATATTTTGATAAAAAATTTTTTATACTTACTCTTAATGCATTAAAGTGTTATTATGAAGGATAATAATCTTATGTGTTGGACTTTTCAAGAATTTTTTTTTATACTTGCTCTTAATGCATTAAAATGTTATTACGAGGGATAATAATCATATGTGTTGGGACTTTTCAAGAAATTCATATGTGTTAAATTTCAAAGAATTTTTTTTATACTTGTTCTTAATGCATTAAAGTGTTATTATGATGGTAAGACTTGGGAATTGGGAGAAGTTAATAAATGCTAAGATCTTTTCTTTTTTTTAAATCAAAAAATCAAAAAAATTAGATTGGAAGATTAGAACTCTCACAAGGCTTAGAGTTAAAAATCTCCTTTTACTTAATATATAGTATAAATTAGTCCAAATTTTTTTCCTTTTTATCTCTTGGTCACACAACCCCCCACATGGAGGTGGGAGTGCTGCAGGTCACCCCTGTTGGGGTCCCCAGCATGGCTCATAAAACATATCTATTTTTTTTGCACCAAAACGACTGCGATTTGATGCATTAAAAAATACACTTCAAATTTAAGCCGTAGAGGATCCAGGCTCCATTTAGCTTGGCCGGCACGCTCTTTTATGTATGATTCGGTTCAAATATTTGTTGTTGTGGTCTGTGTGTCCATTTAGCTTGGCCGGCTCGCTCTTCCTGTTATTTTATAGTCGCCTTCGCCTCTCCATTCGCCCTAACCTTTTGTTTTACTGTGCAACACTTGTACCTCATCAAACCTTTTGGTTTTCTTAGCTACTTTCTGAGTTTTGGAGGCGATTTGGAGGCTTTGACGCTTGTTCAGAAATTCTGGACAACTTCTTGTTGGAAGAGATCTTTCATCTTCTTTCTCCGTTATATTGCTAGATCTTCACTTTGGTATAGTTCTCTTCTCATCTAAATCTATAGTATAGATGCTATGATAGGATTTTATTTTGAAAGATCCTTGTTTTATTTTATTTATTTGATGATCCTTGTTTGATCTCATGATTTTTCATGTCTTTATATATATATATATATATGGAGAAGGATAGATGCCATGATAGGGTTTTATCTTGAAAGATCTTTCGATTCAACAAGGTGAAGTGTTTGTTAAAAAGCCAACGGAGAGAGGGCCGGCTCTGAGGTGAGTCGACGAAAGTGCCTTGGACCCTCAATTCTGGACAAAATTTAGGGCTCCAATTATATTTCATAATTATTTCAATATTACCTCACTCCATTTATTTTATGTTGTCATATAGTGTTATTTTGATTGTGTTATTTTGATTTTGATTGTATCTGATTGATATTTAATATGAAAATTTTTATTTTTAATTAAAAATAAATTAGTAAATGTATGGCGAGATTAAAAAATTTTCTGTTAGTTGAATTTTATAAAATTTATTTTTACTAAATGAAATTATTCATAGAATGTTTGATTCCAATTTAATTGCATTTTTTTAATTAAAAAAATTATGCCTTATTATCATATATTTTTTTTTAGATTAACTCAGGTAACAAAAAAAAAATACATTTTTTAAATGAAAAAAAAGATATTAGCCTTAATTATTATTTTACATATTTTTTTATTCAGTTAGATGAAATTAAATAAAAAGATTAAAAAAATATCATGGCATCCTTGAGTGAACATTAAAATATATAATTAATAATTCATGTCATATTTAGATTCATGTTGAAAAATAGTCAATTCTAACTTGCTAATTTTATATACTGCTTCAGTTGTGTCAAAAATTCTCATCTTTATCCTTAAATAATTTTAGTTCTTATAGGATTGATAAGTTAAAAAAATAAAGATTTGATTCAACATTTTTTTTGATTGAGTACTGATATATGAAAGGTCTAATTCTATTTTCTAGCTAGATCGAAGTTTTCATAGCTATAAATTTCCTATCGTTTGGACAGGGTTGTCTGTCTCCAACATGTTTCGGAACAGTTACCTGATACTAGATGTAATACAGAAAATTCTTGTGCTCGGTTGTATTGGGGCAGCAGAAAAAACAAGCATCTTGTCCGGAAACCCGGTGTATGCTAAAAATTGGTCTCGACATCCAGACGTCAAGTTTGACAGCAACTTCTGGGAGGAGCACTGGACATGGAATCCACTAGAGGCAGTGGCGCACTGGACAAGGAATCCACTAGAGACAGAGGCAGCGGCAGAGGCAGCGGCAAAGGCAGCAGCAGCGTCAGCGGTAGCGGCAGTGGTAGCGGCAGCGTCAGCGGCAGCGGCAGAGATAGTTTCCGGAGTTCTACGTGATCACAGGGGCCCCATTCGAAAGCTTATTCTGTGCAGTCCACAACTTGTGAAAGTCGTTCAGGTCATATTTTCCGATGTACCTAAAAAAGCGGAAGTCGTTTCGGTCATACCATATGACTGGGCCCAACATATGAATAAGGGGTTGTATTCCCTGTCCTGGAATGATATCGAGGAAATCATCTTGCATAATTACAATGATGAGACATACAAGATCAGTTTTCTAAACTTGTTTGGAAATTTAACACGATTGGATCTCCGTAATTGTATATTCAACCAACCATTTGGAGGCTTTGGGAATCTTCATTGCATTCGTCTTGACAACATAAAATTTGGCTTGGTCAGGGAGGGTACTACTGTTATCTACAATTTCCCAAATCTTACCTTTTTCGAGGCTGTAGACTGCTCTGGCTTTAGATATTTGAAAATCCAGGCTCCAAACCTTGAGAGGTGTAATGTTTGTGCCACCAACGGTGATGGAATTATGTATGATTCGGTTCAAATATTTGTTGTTGTGGTCTGTGTGTTCTCTTGTTGTTGATACTGGAGACACTTTGCCTTCTTGTAAGTGATAGTACACATATTTTAGACAGTGAATGCAAGATTTGTGTCCCTTAGAGGCCAACTAAATACAATTTGCTTATCATTATAAAAAATAAATAAATAAAGGTCATCATCACGCTGTGCTATCAACAATATATGAGTTCTCTGATGGCCTGCACCCTTAAATTTACTGAAATGAAATGAATTCAGGTTGCATTTGTTTCAGGCCATAGAGGAATTCAAGAAGGGCAAAAGCTGGACACCAAATCGGTGAAGGAGGTGGATCTGGTTTATGATGAGGGACTTGTCTATTTAAAGGAGTTAAGTTTTCTTTATCGGCCCCAACAAGAAGAAAGTTGGCGACAGACGGTGGTACGTTACCGTTTTTTTCCTTCCGAAAGATTCTGTAACCCAGAACTTGAACCAAACTCACGGGAGTGGTCTAGACGTTTTCCCAGTAAGAAAATGATTGGCCTTGTTTCGTTTGTTTTTGAGGAAAATTTTGAGGAACATTTTTGGGTGTATTTCTCTACAACCCTAGTTTTCCCAGTAGGCAAATTGGCCTTTTTCAGAAAAATTTTTGGGAAAAATTCTCTACAACCGTAGTTTTTTCAAGAGATATCGAATCAAACAAATCTTTTCAAAAAAAATCTGAAAATTTTGTTTCGTTACATACCGTATAAAATCACTCTCTTTTATTCACATCAAATCAATTACTTTTTTTAAAACTTTTTTCCTAAAATAATTTTTCAAAATTATTTATGAAAAAAATAAACCAAACAAGTTTTTATACTTTTTATCTCAAAAATTATTTTACAAACACAAACCAAACATATCCATCCATTATGTTTTTCGAAAGTTTATGATTTTCTCCGAATGGGTCCTAAAAAATCTAAATTTTAGTTTTTAACTCATTTTGAGTCCCCTCACATTTTTATCTACAAAAATAGGTTAAAAATTAAAAAAGGTCAATTTCTCAGGGGAAGAAAGCAGAACCTCTCTCTAGATTCTGGAGAGAGAAAGCTCCCCCCATGGTTTCTCGTGGTATCTGGTGTTGTCCTGGCCAGTCGTAAACTCCTCCACCATTGGCTTTTTGTGTGAGTGAGTATGTTGGTGTCTGATTATGTATTTATGGTGTCTACTATGTTTGAGTTTGTTTTATTTTCATGGTGTTTTCTCACCATGATAAACTGTTCCAACTGGTATTGTTGCTTGTCGTATTTCTGGGCTTCTGATGAGTGTTGAAGAGCTGGTCCTTGTGGTTTGTTCATAAGTTCCTTGCTAGTCATGGTCATCTGCGAGTTACAGTTGTCAGGCTTGGATTATCTTTTGTTTCGGAGTGAGGCTCTTGGCTGGGCTCTTCTGTGTTCTGGAGAGAGAAGGACGAAGTTTATGGGTGTGTTATCTGGCCTGAGTTGCCTTGTCTCCGGCGTGAATTGCTTGGAGTGACAAGGGTCACCTTGTGATATTTTCTGCTCTGGTTATGTTCCCTTCCGGCGTTGGTCTCGCCGGCGTGAATTGCTTGGAGTGACATGGATGGTATCTTGCCCATGGTTTTGATTTTAAAACCAGCACATGGTTTTGTATTATTTGTTTTGCTATGAGATGGGCCAGCCCATATGATGTAAACCTAAGTTTGGGCTGGCCGTGGTTAGTGGTTTTTACCCACATGGCCGTGGTGAGTTGATATGGAGATTAGTTTGTTGAAGCATGGGCCCAGATCTTTATTTATTTTGGCTGAAGCATGGTTGTGCTGTATCAGAGGATCTCAAACGTATTGGGATTGTTACTGTGGGCTGTTAGGTGAGGCAACGCAAATCATGGGCCTCATCTGTCCCACTTTTTTTTGAAGGGCTACAAATATCTGTACTGCCGAGTTTGGTGGGCTTTGAAAATTGGTGTGGGTTCTATTAAGTGGGGCCCATGGCACAAGTTTAAGAAGCAAGGAGTTACTGGTTGTGGCCACGTTTTGTTTAAAATTAGTGGGCTGCTTTCATGGCTTGGTTGTATACACGTGGATTGGGCTTGATTTTTTGGGCTTGTTCAGTGCAGTGGAAACACAAATGAGGGGTTAAGAAAGCATCTCAGTCAACAAAGGCATATTTGAAATAGAAGGGTCATGTGATACTGGTGATCTTGTCCTTGAAAAATTTGTCTCACTAGTTACACATCCTCTTCTTTTTTTATTACTATGTCATTGATGTGGTGCTTTAAGGGTTTGTTGTATGTTGCATTCTTTAAAAACTTTTCTCTTGCTGGAAGCTTTGTAAGGATGATTGGTATCACTTGGGTTTTTTTTGGCTCTTATGCCAAATTCTGTAGTGTGTTTGGGTATAGATTTGTAACAAGATGTTTGTAAGCATTTATGTTTTGTGGTTTATATTGTGTATTTTTGATATATGTTTTAGATGTTTAAGGATGGTTTTGGATTAAAAAGATGTCAAATGCTCAAAATAACTGTTTAAATGTGGGATTGAACTACCACTTTGTTGGTATTTTTTTTCATAATAATCCAAGAAAAATATATTAAATAAATTAAATAGAAATGACAACAATTATTTTTTTATTAAAGGATGAAATACAAAATAAACGACACAATTAAATACAGAAATAAATTAAATTATATTACTAAAAAAACAAATTATTAATATGGATAACTAAATATTAGAATTCGTCGAGGTAAATTAAATTTTGAAAAATTAAAAAACAAATAATAAGAAAAGAAACAAATCGAAATCTGTGTGATATCATAGTTTCCTTAAAACAGATTCACCACCTCTCGATGGGTGCTGGAGGTATGCCGGCGTTTGCCTCTTAGGATACGACGATTGAAACCAGTTAATGCAGAAACACATTTTCAATAGCTTTGGCGAATTTGACAATGGATGCACCCTCTCTAATAAGAACCAAAGAAGAGGCTAACAAAAGAAAATAGAAAAAAATTTCTTTGGTGTAAAAAACTATCTCTAACTTTTTATTTCAAAACACTATTTCATTTTTTATCACAAAACCTCTCTAAAAACAACTTATTAAGTTGGAGGAGAAAAACCTTTATTTATAGGGCAAATTACATATACCTCCCTCGAGGTTTAGTTAAATTACAGATATCTCCCTGAGGTTTTCGAAATTACAGATACCCTCCTGAGGTTTATATTTTCATAACAAATTGTCCCCTGAGGTTTATATTTTCATAACAATTTGCCCCATAATTTGTTATGCAAATAGTACCTTAAGGGGGGTATCTGTAATTTTTCAAATCTCAGGGGGATATCTGTAATTTTGCTAAATCTCTAAGGGTATATGTAATTTGCCCTTATTTATACTAGTAGGGGAGAGCCTTAGCCATGAAGGCTAACATCAATGGGGTTATCAAATGTGAAACAAAATTGAAATCAATCTACTTTCATATTCAACCACTCATTTGATAATACATCATCTATATTTGTACACAGCAAGGAGCTCAACTAACTATCTAACAAAATATCTTCAAACAAACTAACTATCTTCTCAATTGTATAACTAACTCTAACTAACGTCTAAACAGATGAACCTCTTGAACTGTAATCTTTTGAGTTGCAATCTGAGTCAGAGTTGCACCTGAGCTGTTGTACTTATTTGAACGAAGCTGCTGTACTGCTTGAACCTGAGCTGGCTGAACTGCATTCCTCAACATTCTCCCTCAAAGTGACGGGAGGAGAGACAAACATCAGTTTGGATTGAAGATAAGAGAAACGAGATACTAATAATGGTTTGGTAAACATATCTACCAACTGAACAAGAGTAGGAACATAGTGCAACTCAAGCTTTTTAGTAAGGACTTGATCACGAACAAAGTGGCAATCCACTTCGATATGTTTTGATCGAGAGTGAAAGACTGGATTAGAAGCTAAAGCTATGGCAGAGACATTATCACACCAGATAAGAGAAATTGTGGGAGACACAATACAAAGATCATGAAGTAACATGCCAATTCAGGTGAGTTCTGTTACAGTATGAGCCAATGAGCGATACTCTGCTTCAGTAGAGGATCGAGACACAGTGGCTTGTTTCTTGGTTGACCAAGAAATACACAATACCCAGAAGTGGATTTGTGGTCAACAGAGTCTCCAGCCCAGTTGGAATCAGAATAGGCCTAAAGAGCAAAAGAACTAGGTGTATAGATAAGGCCCTGAGACAAAGTTCCTTTAAGATATCTAAGCAACCTTTTTACACCAGCAAAATGACCAAGGGTAGGACTATGCATATGCTGACAGAGTTGATTTACAGCATAAGACAGGCCAGGCCTTGTAATGGTTAAGTACGGCAATGCCCCAACTATACTTCTATAGGAAGAGGGATTATGAAAAGGAACATCAGATTTATAAGGCAACCCAGGCTTAACAGATATAGGTGAATCACAAGGCTTACAATCCATCATAATAGCCTTAGTAAGAACATCCTGAGCATACTTGGTCTAAGAAAGGACATAGGTATAGCCAGAGGTTGCAACAGATATACCTAAAAAATAGGAATGGTTGCCAAGCTCTTTCATAGAAAATGCCTGATGCATTTTAGTAATGAGCAGTTGAATATGTGTAACATTATTCCCAGTGAGAAGAATATCATCCACATACACTAGAAGAGAAATGAAGACTGAATCATGCTGATAGATGAACAGAGAAGAGTCACATTTGCTATTTTTGAACCCTTGAGAGAGCAAAAAGGCTGAAAAGGTAGAGTACCATGTTCTTGGTGCTTGTTTAAGACCATATAAAGCTTTGTGTAGCTTACAAACCTGCTGTGGGTGAGAAGAATGTTCAAATCTAGGTGGCTACAACATATAAACCTCTTCCTCAAGAAGGCCATAAAGAAATACATTAGAGATATCTAGTTGCTTTATAGGCCAATGGTGATGAAGAGCAAGACATAAAAGAATGCGAATGGTGGGCAATTTTGCAATTGGACTAAAGGTTTCCTGAAAGTCAATGCTTTCTTGTTGGAGATAGCCTTTGGCCACTAATCTGGCCTTATGTCTAGCAACAGTCCCATCAGAATTCCTCTTGACCTTAAACACCCATTTACAACCCATGGCATGCTTTCTAGAAGGAAGATAAACAAGGGACCAAGTGTTTTGGGCTTGAAGAGCTTGAAACTTTT